AAACACACATTATTTTTAACAGACACTGTCATTTTAATACACACATCATTTTAATACACACACGTCGTTTTTAAAAACACATAATTTTTATTACACACGCCTCTTTTTAAAACACACACGTCGTGTTTAAACACACACGGTTTTTAAACACACGTCATTTTTTAAACACACACGTCATTTTTAAACATACATTATTTTTAATACACACACGTCGTTTTTAAACACACACGTCATTTTAATACATACATCATTTTTAATGCACACACGTCATTTTTTAAACACACATAATTTTCAAAACACACACGTCTTTTTAAACACACACGCTATTTAAAATACACACATCATTTTTTAATACAATACAATACAATACATTTAATGCACATACCATTAAAAAGCACAGTCACACCGTTTTTAAAATGCATACATCATTTTAAAACACACACGCCACGGCCTCCAATACGTACGTAATTTTTAATTAATAGTCAGTTTTATTCTAGTAAACACAGAATAATAAATTTACATTCCGCGCCTCGTATATTGACTGTTTTTAACTGGATTTTATTAATTTTGTCGGTTCACAACTTGGCGTTTCTGTATGCCAACAACTTAGGTCATATGAACAAATGGACACCTAACCTACACAGCTGCATAGAGTACTTGTAATTAGGTCGAATTGGCATCTATTTCATGTATTGGATGATTTGAAATCGATTTGCTTGCACAAGTACCTTCTGGAATTGACCTATGACCTATATATACTTGGAGTAACACAACAGTAATTTAACACCATTTTACGAAATATTTATTCATATTTTCGAACTTTTATCTATGGGACTTGTTAATGTGGTATCACAGGTAGCAATGCCGAGTGAAACTATCAACTTTGCAATCGCTTTTCACAACTTTGTAAGCAGTTTGTTGTCGATTTGTCAGTTGAATGTTGTGATATTATGCTTATATATGAGGCATTCTCGGAATATTTACTTAATATTCTCGAAATTTACTGAACTGCGGGGTTGTCATGATAATGACTTAGGTTAAATAGACAAACAACGTCGTCAACATTTCCTTTGGTTTTTCCTACTTTGCAGGCGGTTTTCTTACATTTTACAGTCAGCTCATGTGAACATCTATAGGCTGCTTTTAACTGGATTTTATTAATTTTATCGACTTCACAACTGGGCGTTTTTGTATGCCAACAACTTAGGTCATGTATACAAATACGTCTTCCAGCTTTGCTATAACTTTGCACAACTTTACAATTAGGTTGGCATGTCATGACATTTTTATACTGACGTTGTATTAGGTTGGCATTGTTTTGACATTTTTATATTATACAGATACATCTACCAACTGTGCTATCAATTTGCACAACTTTGCAATCACTTTGAACAGCTTCGCACGGTGTGAATCCTGAATGAATCTGCCTCCGCGGGCAGAGCCCAATGGATTTCTAGTCCATCGCCTTAACCAACACAGCAATAGGATCAAAAAATTTTGGAATCATCAAGTAAGTAATGTTCGCAAACATTGATATCAACAATAGACGTTTACTGTCTCAATGAGACTGTCACATAATTCAAAATTAGTTCCAGTAAAGGGATTTTATTTATTGCACTTTCATTTCGAGTCTGGACGCCCTAAATATACGTAGTCGGCAGGATTCGAACCAGCGCGGGTTGTTTAACAACTGTAACATTAACACTAGTTTGTATAACAATATTCACATTAATTGTTATGATTTATTTTGTAAGGACTAGATCAATTGCTATAATTTGTGATCTAATATATTTCGAGGACTATATTAATCGTTATGACTTATTGTATTAATATATCGCAAAGACAAGATGAATTGCTATTATAAGTTCTGGTGTAAGTCATGGCAAAGACTAGTGTGTTTGCTGTATGTTACAGTGTAAGGCCTGGCACCCACAGAACACACAATTGACCCTGCTAGAATGAGATAGACAAGGCAATAGTACAGGAAATGAAATACACATACGCCAAAATATCAAGTTAAAGCTCCTGGCTTTAATACCTCTCCAAATAACTACAAGAGACAAGGCACAGAATAATATAATGAGTAAATTCACTAAAATAGGGGATTGCCTAGGGAAGTGTGCACTGGTGAAAACTCATAGTTCCAGAATGTGGAAATTGATGACAATCAATGGCTTTTGCAACACAATAACGAAGAAATAAAGAAGTCTTGCTTGCCGAGAAACGCTGTTATGCTGGCGGGAACCGCTGATAGCAGGAGATCGCAGAGCAGTTCAAGCCTCACAGAATGATGATTTAAGCATGTATCGCTTGTCTCACAATATCGCAGCAGCCCTAAACAGTTGAACAGTTGAAATGGTGGATCCCAACTTTCCTAAGTCTGTCCAATTTATATGCATAAATGACCCAGTTTGAGAGACACCACCTGGGTTTCCACAGGCGCCAATCATAATGTGGTCTTGCTAGCAACTGTTTCACGGTGACATGCAGGCATTCAGATGGTATATTCCAATTGTCCTTCCAGAGTTGTAAACAAGTATGATCTGTCAATACACTTTATGAGAGTTATCACACGGCAATGCATACTGTTTCTTCCCATGATTCCATGCACACTTCCATTTGCAGGGTTTGAGGTAATATAAAAAAACATAGAATGAAGGATGCTGACACTGTATTAAAAGCGCATCTCAAATAGAAATAGTATAGGAACTAAATTCGCATTTCTGTATAATATATCATTAAAATGTTACCAAGTTTGACTATAGAAACACCTTTCAAAAATAAGTAAGCGCGTACGCTACTAATAAAGCAAATACATTACACTGGTGGTTACAAGAAGACTTTACATAAAGTAGGCTAAACAAATTCGAATTCGATAACGTGCTCAGACAAAAAATGTCACGTGAACCGTAAATTACCCTAGTAATGGTCACAGATGTACATATTTAGAAAATAAAAGCTAAGCAGTCTAGATTAGATATATGTCAATCGTATTTTCATACAACACCAGAAAACGAAACAGAAACTACATTACTTGACTCATCATGAAATCGATTGCCGTCTTTCTTTTCAGTACACGTGGCACTTTATACTGATTGAACGAAGCCGTTGTGTTGTCTACCAGATACTTCTGTAGCGCATCAAATGTTCCAGGTTTCACTAGGTTTACTCTAGGTGGCGCTATGCTTCCTTTCAAACGGAATGCGTTGTATGCAAACGCCCTACGCCGTAAATGTTGATCGAACTGTAATAAAATTGAGACATTACATAAGAACTTGTAACCTTTCATACACCTGGCAAACAAATTTCTACTTATTAGCTCCTGTTTGATACAAAAATGAAAGAGTCATGAGCTGTGTTTTTGTCAAGGCCTTACTGAGTCAAAATTACTTTTGGGCTACAACATGAACACTCGTACGTTGTATGTTAGGGTATTCTTGCTTTGCATATGCAAACATCGCCACGACAACCAGAGACGTGATAGTTAAACTTACCATACTGAGTTCATATTCACAAAGCTCCACTCCTTTTTTCTCTTGGTTTTCCAGCTCCAGAAAAAGTACATAATATGGAATTCCTGGTTCAGACTGGATATCTATTTGTAATTAATTATATATTTAAATGATAAATATAGAGATAGAAAGAAAAAAACAGGGCCATCCCCATACCCGTCCCGCAGGACAAAAATTCGTTGGGATAAGGAACCGAGGGATCCAGTCGGGCTGTGAGGTTTGGCTCCAAACTCTGCTGGTTCCGGTACTAGACACTCCATCGATTGGATAGTGCTTGGTCCAGCAGAAAGAGTTAGTCATGTGACCCTATGCGGATGTGATCATACGTAAGTGCCAATATGAATGTGTCATAAGAACGTACCCATATAAATGTTTCCAATGTGAATGTACCCATATAAATGTGCCCAATGTGAATGTACCCATATAAATGTTTCCAATGTGAATGTACCCATATAAATGTGCCCAATGTGAATGTACCCATATAAATATGTCCAATGTGAATGTACCCATATAAATGTGTCCAATGTGAATGTACCCATATAAATGTGTCTAATGTGAATGTACTCATATAAATGTGTCCAATGTGAATGTACCCATATAAATGTGTCCAATGTGAATGTACCCATATAAATGTGTCCAATGTGAATGTACCCATATAAATGTGTCCAATGTGAATGTACCCATATGAATGTATCCAATATGAATGTACCCATATAAATGTGTCATGTGAATGTACCCATATAAATGTGTCTAATGTGACTGTACCCATATAAATGTGTCCAATGTGAATGCTCAATATAAATATGTCCATGTGAATGTACCCATATAAATGTGTCCAATGTGAATGTACCCATATAAATGTGTCCATGTGAATCTACCAGTATAAATGTGTTCAATGTGAATGTACCCATATAAATGTGAATGTACCCATATAAATTAGTCCAGTGTGAATGTACCCATATAAATGTGTTCAGTGTGAATGTACCCATATAAATGTGTCCATGTTAATGTACCCATATACATGTGCCCAATGTGAATGTACCCATATAAATGTGTCCAATGTGAATGTACCCATATAAATGTGTCCATGTGAATGTACCCATATAAATGTGTTCAAGGTAAATGTACCCATATAAATGTGTCCAATGTGAATGTACCCATATAAATGTGTCCAATGTGAATGTGCCCCTATAAATATGTTGATATGAATGTACCCATATAAATGTGTCCATGTGAATGTACCCGTATAAATGTGTCCAATGTGAATGTACCCATATAGATGTGTCTAATGTGAATGTACCCATATACATGTTTTCAATGTGAATGTATCCATATAAATGTGTCCAATGTGAATGTACCCATATAAATGTGTCCATGTGAATGTACTCATATAAATGTGTTCAATGTGAATGTACCCATATAAATGTGTCCAATGTGAATGTACCCATATACATGTGTCCATGTGAATGTACCCATATAAATGTGTCCATGTGAATCTACCAGTATAAATGTGTTCAATGTGAATGTACCCATATAAATGTGTCCAATGTGAATATACCCATATAGATGTGTCCAATGTGAATGTGCCCATATAAATGAGTCCAGTGTGAATGTACCCATATAAATGTGTCCAGTGTGAATGTACCCATATAAATGTGTCCATGTTAATATACCCATATACATGTGCCCAATGTGAATGTACCCATATAAATGTGTCCAATGTGAATGTACCCATATACATGTGCCCAATGTGAATGTACCCATATAAATGTATCCAATGTGAATGTATCCATATAAATGTGTCCAATGTGAATGTACCCATATAAATGTGTCTAATGTGAATGTACCCTTATAAATATGTTGATATGAATGTACCCATATAAATGTGTCCATGTGAATGTACCCGTATAAATGTGTCCAATGTGAATGTACCCATATAAATGTGTCTAATGTGAATGTACCCATACAAATGTTTTCAATGTTAATGTACCCATATTAATGTGTCCAATGTGAATGGACCCACTGTGTTACATTGATCCAAAATATGACAATGTATGAAATACGGGGATATATGCACAATATGCGCTTTTACATATTTATTACGTAATATATTTCGAATCAAAATCAAGGTAAATACATTTATCTAATATTCAAAAATCTTTAGCGTGGAATACGTCACATTAAATCAACACAGTAAGATATTATAATAATTGCGTACGATTAACTAATAAAAGACGTATATGTACATACCTGAAAAAGACAGTTCAAACATGACACTTTCTGCGCATGTGTAATCCACCAATAAAGTTCCAGCCGGCCATTGTGATAATGTGTCTTGAAGCGCCCCATATACAGCGACCTCTGACGTCTTCTCGCTTCGAACATTCAATAGCTGGCCACGCCTATGTAATGATAATGTAATGGTAAAGCAGGACCCATGTAATTATATCTTTTAACGTGGAAGTTGTTACACATATATAATAAATATAAAAATTGTAACGGTACGTAAGGACATATTTGTATCTTTGTGTGATGGTTGCTAAACACACAACGTAAAATCACCATTCTCTCCAAAAGCTTACCTATACATGAATTCAAACACGGGACAGTTATTATGGTAGCGCACAACCTTCACAACATCACCAAGACGATATCGATACAGCCCATGCTCATTTGTCAAAACAATTTCATACTCAGCTCCAACCTCGAGTTCATCGGCCAATAAGGTAGCAGGTTGAGTCTCATCACTGTAAGTTAATGAATTGTCGAAAAAGGTACGATTGTAATAAATTACGCAACACGACAGAAACGCATAAAAGTTTTGAATATTATTGCCCAATTGTTTAATTATGTTTTAGCAAGTTTGAAAAATAGAAGGTTTTGAAAAGAAATGCAAAAACATCTAGTGAAGACAAAATACATAGATGTCAAAACAACATTCATTTCTTAAAACCAAAACGTATTTGTTACCAACATATTTCATCAAAATAGAGAAATAAACATATTGCCAAGAAATGAACAAATCTGAACATCATAGTGGTAATTGATTGATCACCATATTTCTATACCAATTCCAAACTCAAATGCGGAACACTAAATGCACTTAGCAATGCACATTGCTCACCGAGCACTGTACTACTATCGTCAAATATATTCCCGGGGTTACTTACCAAGCTGGAGCTGGTATGAATTCGTAGAAATTAGATCTAGGTAAGAGCACGTAGTACGGAGTTGTCTCCAAAGGCCAGATGTTGACACCAATAGTACCCTCAGACGAAGAATACACGTAGGAAACAATGGGTACACCTGTAATGAAATGTTTATGACTATAAGCCCAAACATATGTGGTACAATACTATTAGTTGTGAAGGCGGATGCTGTATATAACGGTAGTTTTGTTTTACGCGGTTCTTTTATTATACTCCTTCACAAAACGTACCGCAGAATCGTGTTGAATAACATAACAGTGAGATTATTTTCACAACGGTATTGTCCACCCTTCCCGCTAGTCACTCATTACATCTAACTTGGTTTGCGGCATCACATGTATCCGAATGTGAATACAACACTGAGAGGTCAAACTTACCTGGGGCGTAATATTCGTTTATTTTCTTTGCATACGGTTTCATTGATCCTGTACTGATCCCAACAATATAATTCAAATACGGCCAGACTCGACTGATGACGCCCTGGAAACCTTTCTGAAATTCGGTTTTTAACTCTTTTGCCCTTTCTGGATCAGGCCGTAGATGTTTATTTAGCTCTTCTCTCACCTGGGGAAGTATCTCGAGCTTTGAGTCGATATACCCGTTTTCTATGTCGATCACAAGCTGCGGCCATTTTGTCTCGATTGTAGCGAATAGGCTGTAGACGGACTGAGCGAACATGCCGTTGATAATTCCCATAGTGCGGTCCTTAAGTCCGAACAAACAGTGGAGGTACATGCATTGTGGCTCTTTTGTGATTTTGAATATAGATGAAGGAGAAGTTTCTAAACAGCCGAGCATACTCATCAAGACGAACGAGAAGGGAGTATTTGACCGCATGCCCGACACAGGCCCCATTGGCACACCGCCCTCAGTAACACGTGGTTTGCTGCCGAATTTGATAGTAATCATTTTTTGTAGATTATCTGTGCCTGGTATCAAACGGTGTATTTCTGGAATCGGTAAAGCACCAGGAAGTACAAATTGTCCAAGATATTTCTTGGAGACTGGAAACATTGACCCTGACCCAGAAGTTCCTGGAGTAAGTACAATGTAGATGATTTTATTTTTTGTAAGCACATTCTGTACCCCCATTGCAGCTCGGTCAATATAGTGTTTGTAAGATTCGTATCGCGTCAGTGGATGCATTCTACGGAAATCTCCCGTCGTTCGAAAGCGAGGAAAATCGAATTTTCTGCCGTACTCAGTGTCAGCATTGTGATACAAGACATGTCGTAAAACCTCTTCTTGCACCAGCCTGCATTTCTGTGTATCTGAGTCGAATGTTTTGCGCATCCTCCTCCCAAGTCTAACGGTAACTAATATAAATAAGTAGTGTACAAAAGCGCTTAGATAATTGTGCGATGGACAGGTTCGTTCATTGAGAAATGTGAGCGACAGGATGCCCAGGACAACTGTGCATATAGCGGCCACACCTAAAGACGAAATAGAACACGTTGAACGTAGTCAATTTTAAGTTTATCTTTATAACATAATATATTACATATATCAGACAACAGTATATGGAATAAATATTAATGCTACTGGTTTACCCATACACGACTTACTGTATATACTCATTAAGAATGAAATGAAGTTTCCAATAGAAAGAATTTTAATGAGGTCTACGACATTACGGAAGAGCTCGTTACGTATTGTGTCAGAAACTTTCACGACATCATCACCATACGCAAAGTACGATTGAAAGCACCATCCGTACACGAGACACACCATGCGGTAACCACGCAATAACAACTGTGGGCAACATAGAATTACGTCTAAAATAAACAATCATGATCTTGGGTATCACTCGATGTCTCAGTAAAGTCGCTGGCTGGACCCCAAAATCTTCGTTCCTCATTGTGTAGGTGTCTGAAATAAACTTGTTTGATTCCCGGGTGGATTCGGATTCATTTTGATTTTAATCGACATTGTGACAGCAAGGACCGGTTTTGGCAGTAACATCTTAAGCCCACCGCACGCTGCTCGACTCTACACGCATCCCATCTGATTATGCACAAAATGAACTTTCTGTTATCTAAATCAGAGTTGTTTCTGCGATGTCCTATAATACGCATTTATCAACCATGTTGTGGGTTACCTCGCACACAATGGATGATATAAGTCAATAACAACTAAAGTACACTTTTATATAGATAGATATCCCATACCCCACTGGGAATCGTGAATTGTGAATTAAAAGATATAAATTAATTATTTAATTAATTATTTAATAAAATTTAATAAATAATATTTCCGGTTGCAGCATTGTGATTACATACACACTATTATATTTAAAGCGATTACAAGGTTTTTAAAAACAAAATTGTGCCGGGTGGTTTCTCACATGACTGAGGTAGAACTGACCTTTGAGCCCAACGACCTGGTGATTTACTGTGACGTACACAACACAATGGCGGCGTCCTTTTATGAATGGAGTTCTTCATGACCTTGTTCACATGTACAGCCATCCAAATAGAACATGTTTTAGTAAGTGTCTTATGATTTGTGAGTTAAATTTGTCTTACCTGACGCTATGAAATACAATGGAGTCAAGAGAGTCAACTCACGCCCAGCCACACAGTTGATAAATAAATATACAGATAGTATAGCACATAAGATACTGTAGACGATACCACGTCCCGCTTTCACCACTCGGCTCATCCCAATGTTGATTTTGTTTCACACTCAGACCAATTTCAAAATATGAGCTAAGAGTTCGCACAAACAGTGTTCGTCAGTGATGTTAACCCGGATGTTGTACGCACCCTTGTAGATATACCATGAACACATTGACCTGACACATCGTTCTCATGCCATAGAAACAACACGAATGTAAGGGTGTGTCTAGTATCTATCATGGGTTGTTCGGCGTTGAAATTCGAAAAACTGGGAGTCTGAAGAGAGAAAATAAAATTACAGATAGGTCAGGTAAAATATAATGGCATCACACATACTAAATTGAAGCTTACTTTCCTACAGTATGTTACAGTCACAAACCAATCTCAGTCTATGTTACAACGGATAATGTAATAATTAACTCACACTTTGCCGATAATATATAACTGACTGTTAATGTAATAATTTTAACCGGTAATGTAATAACAAATTTACCGGTATTGAAATCACTTGTTTGACCGATGATGTAATAACCAGTAGAATCTTCGAGTTCAATGTCATAGCACGAATTCACGACTAGAAATCGTTAACTCGGTGGAAGATTGTCCAGTTATTAGGTATGCCTTAATAAAACATTACATGAAACGATGTGACCCATCTTGTCTGGATTTCTTGTCACGAAATGTTATGTATTATATTCATTTGTGTCCCAAGTGATTAATTGGGTGTGCAAAGTTTTCTATATTTATACACACCCATTCATTTAAAGGGCGGTAGTAGTCGCACCACACATGCGCGAGATATATGGGTCTCATATAAACAAAGATGGCGATTTTGACTGTTGTGCAAATCAACGAGTCGTTACCAAGCTTCAATTAAGTATTGTTTAGGTGATTGGAAAGTATCAAAGGAGTCACCGGTGGTAATTAGTGCAAGTCGCGCCTAGGTCGAACCTCATACTTGTCATTTGCATTAGAAGAGCGCATTGCATTGTGGTTAAATCAATGTTTATCACCACAAATGTCGTACATGCGCAGCGAGACGACTACCGCCCTTTAAGTGTTACATTTATTGTAATTACACCCATCTGTGCCTGCTCTTTGACACGATTCCCTTCTAACAAATTATGGCAACATTTGAACTCTAGAAAGCAACACAATTGCTTTAGAATCGTTTGCCATAAACTTGTTGACAATTTCAAATCAACAAATACGCAGCAATCAAGGTACGTTCTTGAGAGAAAAACTAAGTCAATTATAGAAACGTATTTAATATTTCCAAGTATCGTTAAAACTATTACCACGCCAACAACTATCGTCACTGTGGCTATGAGCGCCCTCGCACGACTGGTCTGCAAATGAATATATCCACGTTCCATACTATACCTGTTTTTATATTGGTTTGCAGTTAGATAAAGTAACGTACCACCACGCCAGTTACTTGAAATTTGGAAATACGTACTGCGTTGATTTTACATATTAAACATCATTCTTAATACCAACAAATGTACAGGGTTGACTCTGACAGTAAAAAGGGCGTTCTTTGTATTGAAATAAGAATCTTCTACAGTCCAGTTAATTCAGTACTTGGAAATTTCACATTTATAGGACGTAACACTCGTATGTAATTAGATACGTCTATGCCGTTCAAACGAAACCATGGAAACTAGAATAGTACTATAAGCGTACTATATTTATTATAACAAGATGTGTCTTAGAAATTACAAAGGTTGGGATGTGTTTACGGTTGTACAGAATTTAGTGATAAACACAATTGGTTACATGATCAAGAGTTATATTCTTATACTAGAAATTATACTGAATGGATAATCACGAACATAAATGTTTGGGTTTTCGAGTCGGCTAGAATTCATCTGTCAGACTGAGTATATTGTTCACTGCTATATTTACAATAATCGATCACCAAAATAATTTATCTGGAAGTGCGTGACGATCTATCGAAGAACGTGACGGAAAATAATTAGGAATAGATTGAGTTTTGAAACCCAACGCCATGGTCAATTGTCGGATCCAGAATCACCATGCATGATATACATGACAAAACATTATTTTTGAAATGTTATTTCTTCGAAATATGGTTTTCAAACTGTTCACTGCCTACATCGTATGGTGGGTAATTGAACCGCATGTTCGTTCATAAATGAAAATTGTGTCTGTGAATAACTTAATAAAACCATTTTCTTGTTTCTATAGTAAACATCCGGCTGATATCTGCTGCGTGGTTTTACTGCGTTGCAGCTCAATTGAGCACGCACGGTAATGGTTCAGTTTCTCTCGAATATCCAAATATGCATGCATACATGAGTAATTAATCAAGTGAGTTAAAATGTAACCAAGTACATTAGCATATTTGGTAAACGAAAAATACCGAGCGGTGTATCCACTGCAAAGAAAACACAAGCTTTTTCAAGACGTTTGAATATTTGCACACCGCCCATTGCGACATTATTACAATGAGTCAAGTATATCACATGACATTCATTGGATACCTGACAATCACACCAGTCATTGATAATAGTTAGATATTGAATATTGGGAATGAAAGTAAAGGTGATTTGTATAACAAATGTCATCATGTATGACGTCACGTGGTTTAAAGAAGTATGACCGCATGCGTATTAACAAGGGGAGTGTAGGCAGAACATAATCTGACTTTTCATACCCGAATACAAGCGCAAATGTGAAACTGACCATTAATCGAATATAGGTTTGATAGTGCATGTTAAATTGCGTGTTCGTCTAGATTAAACTCAATCTATATGTCTCTGTATTAGAAATAAAGTATGAATTTGGAATAAATGTTTTCGTCCTGAATTATAGATGTTTTAAGTTCCGATAACGACCTCAATGCACTTAGGATATCAAACTTAGTGAGAAATTAGCATAGACAACCCAGCTTTTGTTTGATGTCACACGTGTTCAATAAGATCTGTTTGTTTGGACATTATAAAGATGTCGTTATAATAAATAAGCAAGAAAATTAAATATTGAGAAAGATGCATTCTACAAATGTAGGTTACTCGAAAATTTTCCCGGAGATAGCTGCATTGGAATGATGGTACATTTCAGTGAGTTTATGATTAAATGACGTTCATGGCGATTGCAGCACGTTTAAGGGTTGATCAAAACAGCATGACAAACGAGAATCGGTTCGAAGCGAACGCGCAGACATTTTTATCTGTCGTCCATGTATTAGCACACAACAAACTATTAAACTGCCACATATTTATAAATTGGTTCATGACGCGCCTTTTGTTTTATTTTTACAAAAAAATAGAACTGTTCATATATTGAAACTGTCAATTTTACTTTTCAGTTAGAGATTCCCATTTATTGTCCCTCCAGTCAAGGTACAATAATAACTAATTTATCTGAAATATGTCACAAAATATCGTAATATTTCTTAAAACTGCATCGATAAATCTTAAAGATGGACAGTTCAGGATTTACAGTATGTGGCCAATGGCATCAACCCGTCATTATTATAATACAATGATACCCACTATGACGTCATTACTATAATGAGTGTGAATCAATGTCATGTCACGTATGTTATATGAGGCTGCCGATACTCCCCATTACAGATATTTACGACTTTGATGGAATGTCCCATAGTCCTGAAATTTTAGCGATCGTTCATCAAATTTAGTAGATCTAAGAGTAGAGTAAGCTGACCCGTGTAATTACATATGCATAGCGGGTACGCGCAAGCGCACTAGGTTTGTCAACTCCAGCGAAATGCCAAAACTTGAAACACAAAATAGTATTCTGACGTTGAAATCATTTGTTGATACGACATTTTGATTGGTTCTATCTTATTGACACGCTCAATATGTATACCAACATTTCAACTATACACAGTTATGCTAGGTATCTTCCCTGCCAACACACGTTATTTATACACAGTAGAGAGTCCGTAATATCCGTATGCATTGTATGCAGGTTTAGTGTGATTGGGAAAATATGTTTCCTGTTGCACTACGTGAATTCTATCATAGTAGAATTGGTCAATATGTTACCTCCACCCAGACACTGGTTCGATTGCGACGGCATGAATAATGTTCGTATATATACTCCACAAGAAAACCTGTACAA